AGCCTTCCCAGTCTCTCACACTTGGGAGACTTCAGATTGACCTCATGACCTTGGCCTTAGCCAAACCCTTAGGACAGAAGGTAGATAGATCCCTGGAGCTCTGGCCAGGGAATTACTGAAATTTGCCTGTCTGCCTGGGGTCTCACTCCTGACCCCTGAACCGGTGGCTGATCCCAAAAGCAGCCAAAGGCACCCTTGGCTTGGCCCAGGCTAAGCCTAGGGTAGAAAAGGAGGCACTAGCTGCCAGCTGGCTTTCTGGGCTCTGCTATGTGGGAGCGTCTGGGAAGATGCAAGCTGCCTTTCCTTAACCCTGACAATTTGCCATTGGGATTAGGGATCTGGGATCATATCACAAAGATGTGCCCTCCCTTTCCATGCTTTGATAAAGAACTTTATGAATACCTGAAAAACTCACCCTCCTATTATAATAGGACATTGTGGAGGGAAAAGCATCTTAGACTCTGATCCGGTTTGAAAATTAAAAAGAAAAAAAAAAAACTGTTGTGACAGGACCAGCCCTCCCTTAGAAGACCCCACAACTGCCCTGAGGAATTCAGTCCTGCAGTGGGCCCCTTTTGGAGGACTAAATACCTTTGCTCAGAAAGGTTACGAGGAGCCAGAAAGGAGGGGGGAGGGATGTCAGATCTGCGCCTGCCCAAGGCACCCTGGGGGTGAAATAAACCTGAGGCTCTTGCCCACAGAGGCCACTTCACGGGAGGTACCTCCACCTTAAGCTCCTACTTTATTTTTATTTTTAAATTAACAAGGCAAAGCACCTTTAGTTAAAAGGAGGGACTTCGGAGGTGGGCCGGTAGGGGCTTAGACATGGCCCAGAAAATTTACCGCAGGAGGAAGGAACCCGCGGGACACATGGCTTGCCAGTACACCTCCAAAGACAGATATTTTTGGAAAACCGAGGATGAAGGCTGATCGCGCTCCTCTTGGAAGTGTTGTGGTCCCTCGAGAGGGAGGCACCTCCCACCCTCACTCCACTCCTCCTCTACCATTTCCGGGCTCAACCAGCCACTTTATGGTCAGTCTCTGGTCCTCGTACTCCCGGGAGGTCAGAGGTGTCTCAGGACCTGGCAGGTAGAAGGAAACAGAGGCAGACCACACCCCCTCATTCAACACCTCCTTCTGCTTCTTCAAATACAGGAGCTGGGGTAAAAATATCCATTTTAGGGCTACCGTTTTGAGTAACACGGGTCTCACCAGTTTGGAGAGAAACGGTCGCAAAAGCATATATGTGTAAAGGTGGTTACCGAACGCGCTGCTGGGAGGTCTGGCCGTCGTGATCACACAAGCAAACAGTCCAAGGGCCGCATTTATTCAGATATTTATTGCTTGCCTACAAAGCAATCTTCTGCTTTGCCTCTTTCTCCTGCTGTGTTGGTATTGCGATCGAGCCCAACGCCTGTAGGGAGAACAGGCTAACCTGGCGCTCCCTTCCCAAAGGAAACTGTGGCTGGAAAAGCAAAGAACAAACATTGCATGCCTCAGCGAAAAATGGAAATCACGGAAGAGCGTCTGGGAGCCCCCGTGTTCTGGGACCTCCTGTCCAGCCAGAATCCAAGGTCCTGTGAGAGTACCTCAAGTGAATCCAGTCTGGGCACTGGAATGCAAAATGAGGTGTCCCTTCAGTGGATCATATCAGTGAACATTGCCCCGGATTGAGATCTTACTGGGGGATGGATGCATCGGTTACCACGCACTGGTATTTCCTAGGATCTGGGACCCTGGTGGGAGTATTTAGACGAGGTCCCCACCTTGCTAAGGACTTTGAAGTAGGGAGGTTTTTGGCCCTTAGCTCGTCACGTGGAAAGTGGACCTACACACCCTCACCCCCACCAGGAGCTGGATCCTCTCTGGCTCTGATGGTCTAGCACCCCCTAAGCCCACTTGACACGCCCTCTACCTACTTACTGCTCTCCCTACTTGTACTAGGACCGAGAGAGAAGGCCAGCGGGCCTCCCCCCGGGGAAATTGGACCCTGCCCTGCTGAAAGAAGAAAGAGTATGATCCCAGACTAGGGCTTCCCAACAACTTGTCTAAGGGGATCTGTAGCACCTATGTGTGGGCAATTTGTGAAGCCCCTTTCGTCTTCGAGCTGTGGCCTCCAATCTCCTCATCCCCTATGCCCAGGAGACTGCAGACCGGGAGCATCCACCTGGAAGGTTCTAGCCTCAGTTTCCCAATCTGTAATCTAAACTTTAGTCTGGACCCCGGGGTGTTTCTCCGTTCCCCAAGTCAATGTCCCGGGCTTGGCGACTGCAAGCCCCTTCCATAATCAGCTCTGGGAGGAAAGGTCTGGGTAGCTGAAAAGGGCAGGTCACAGTGGGCTGAGGCCAGAATGGCGGGTGGGGAGTGGGCTGTCCAGGCCCTGGAAGAAATTCAGGCCCAGCCACTCTTAAATTGATGGTGCCTACCCGCCAGACTTGGCCCGATCTTGGCACACCAGATAACTCTTGGCACCTGGGGAATAGGGGGGCCTTCTCCTTTACTCTCACTCTCCAAGTTGTGTGCAAGAGAAACACTGGTATCTGCGGTGCTTTCCCCGCCCCCACCCCACCCCCATTCCCCCGAAGACAAGCACTTCCCGGCTTCCCCTAACGAGACTGCACAGATTGATTCGCACACAGGAGAGAATAGGCATAGGCATTCCTGTAGAGGTAAGTCCCATCGTGGAAACAGTATTGACTGAGTGGAACACACCACTGCCACCTCCCCCACCCGGGCCCCTGCCCCCCTCCACCGTGGCGAAAGTTTTCCGGCAGTTTCTCAAAGTTCCGGACTGTTTCTGGGCTTTTGGCGCCCCCTCTGGATGTGGCCGAGAACTGCAGTCCAATTTTAATTTCAACCGTTTTAAAAAATTTTTTTCCGAAAGGACTCAAGAATATTAAAAACGCTTGCGTGGAGGGGTAGAAACATGTAAGAAACTGCGTGATTTAAAATGTCGTAACACATTACATCTCATCATATGTTATGTTGTAGACATATTTATAGATGTATGTGTTCATGAACAAATGTTTAATAAAATATTTCAAAATGCCTTAAGGCCACAGTCGCTTGCATTGCTTTTGTGCCAGAAAACGTGATAATTACAACAAATTACAACTCGCTAGTTTAATACATCTGCCCGTGGTCTCTGTTCTCCAGCGGAGTGGCTGAGGGTCACAAAAAATAGGTCCTCCCTAGGACACAAAATAGGTCCACACTAACAAAATTTGACCCCCCACTCTGGAAAATGTTATATTTTTTCTTACAGATTGCGAGAATAATGCGAGTTACAAATAGGTGGCTAATGTTTGTCCGTCTCTTAAACTCATAAACAGACTATAGGGTACCAGAGACTTGAAATTCGAGTAACATTCGTTTAAAAAGAAAACCCGACTGAACAGGGTTGTGGCTTACTACTCCCTCCTCACGGGTTCCTTTCCCTATATAACAAATGCCCACTTCGGAAGAAAACGAGGGAGGGGGAAACTAGCTTTTTAAAAGTATCCCAAAGAAAAGATTCGTTTACATCTAAGTGTCCACGCAAATTAGAGGGAGAACCTGCCTTTGATATAATACAGGCCGATTCACTTCATCAATAATTTAATAAGTTCAAAGCGAAGTTTTGCAAGAACCAGAAGGTGGGGATTTTAAATTAAGTTGCTGTTGTTTTTCTTTTTTTACACCGTTGCGCGTTTGTCACCCGGTAGCAGCTGATTTTTTTTTTTTTTTTTTTTTTTTTTTTTTTTCCTTCCCGAAGAAGATAATTCCTCCCTTACCTAACCTTGCTCTAAGAGTTCTCTAAAACACCAGCTCTGGCTCCCAGTGCTTTTAAAGTACACCTACGTGGCCTCCTCCAGAACGCCCACCTGTGCTCAGGTCTAAAAGGACAGGACTAAAGTTCAGACAACTAGCGCTTCGCCCTCCCAGGTAAAGGAGGGCCCAAGCGAGAGAGCCACAGGACTCCGCCAAATAGCCCGTTTTGTCTTAAGTTTTCCAGTCCAAGTCACTGGCCTCCTGGGCCTCACCGCCCGGCGCTGCCACCTTTGCAAACTTCACTCTCAGCGACGGAGCAGTTTTGTAAACCCCGGTGGTGACCAAGCTGACGTTTGTAACTCAGACAAGAGGCAAGAAGCAAAACTCTAATGTAATAACCCTAACACCGAGGGGCGTCCGAGTGCTGGAGGGGCCCCGGAAAGGACTTGTCAGCTCCTTGTCCGTGCCCCACCGGACCCGCCAAGAGAAACCGGCACTGCCCGGTCGCCGCCAGCCTTCGCTGGCGCTCAGCTTTGGTTTTCATTGATTCGCACTGCGAGAGCGCTGCAGAATCTCCAGCCACCACACCATTCTCGGAGAACCAGAGCGCGTTAATCTATTTATATGGATTATTACAGAAGAACAGCGGGCGTTGAGTCACCCAAACATTTGCTTCCAAAAGTCCATTTCTAAGCACTTTTGGAAACCGGCAGGCTCCGGGCGCAGAAGCTGAGCTCCGCGTTGAGGCGCGGCTGTTGCAATTTCCACTGCTGTAAACGCCAGCGAAGCCCCGGGTACCGCGGAGACAGCTTCGAAAAGTAGTGGGAAAAGTGTGTGTGTGTGTGGGGGGGTGTATCCTAGTCTAGACACGCGCGCGCGCACACACACACACACACACACACACACACACACACACACACACACACCGATTCACACTGAGACGGTTCCAAAACTGTGACATTCCTAGAGTAAACTTACACACTCGGACGTCCCGGGTCCCCTGCCTGCCCCGCGGAGCCCCCCCCCCGTAAGTCCCCTCACCCCACCATCCACCAACCCCCACACCCCACCCGGGGCTGCGCTCTCCTCCCTTCTCCACCCCTCGTGTCTCGTCATCCAACCCGGAGCCACAATCCTCCTCCCCTTCTCCAAAATCCGGTCCAATCAGCGACTTGCCAACCCTGATGACTGCCGAGCCGCGATTGGTCGGAGGTCTCTAAGGTGAAGGGGGAGTATTTATTAAAGAGACCCTGGGCTGGGAGTCGGAGAGCCGTGAGCGCTGCTCGGAACTGCCTGGAAACTTCAGTGGGGCGACAACTTTACCAATTTCTGTTCAGGAACTTTTCTTTGCAAGAGAGACGGGGTGCAAGTGTCCCCAGTTTCGTTCTCTGTCTTCCCTTCCTTCTCCTCCTGTCCGATTCGCCTTCCCCGGGTTTGGAGCGGGCAGCTGAGCAGCGGCCACCCAGCCAGTGCCTCTGCTAAGTGCCCGCCGCTGCCGCCCGGTGACGCGCCAACCTCCCGGGGAGCCGCTCGCTCGGCGTCCGCGTCCGGGCAGCAGAGGGAAGAGAAGCCCCAGCCGCCGCGGCTTCTCGCCTTTCCCAGCCACGCGCCCCCTGCCCCGGGCTCGCGTATGAATCTCCTGGACCCCTTCATGAAGATGACCGACGAGCAGGAGAAGGGCCTGTCCGGCGCCCCCAGCCCCACCATGTCCGAGGACTCGGCTGGCTCGCCCTGCCCCTCGGGCTCGGGCTCCGACACGGAGAACACGCGGCCCCAGGAGAATACGTTCCCCAAGGGCGAGCCGGATCTGAAGAAGGAGAGCGAAGAAGACAAGTTCCCCGTGTGTATCCGCGAGGCGGTCAGCCAGGTGCTGAAGGGCTACGACTGGACGCTGGTGCCCATGCCGGTGCGCGTCAACGGCTCCAGCAAGAACAAGCCACATGTCAAGCGGCCCATGAACGCCTTCATGGTGTGGGCGCAGGCTGCGCGCAGGAAGCTGGCGGACCAGTACCCGCATCTGCACAACGCGGAGCTCAGCAAGACTCTAGGCAAACTCTGGAGGTGAGAGCGCCTGAAAGTCGGGTGGGCTCTGGGGCTCTGGGGCTGCACTCACCAAACCCGGCCCGCCTCCCTGAGCCTAGGAGTTGATGCTTGGGATCTGAGGAGCCGCGATGCGGGATAGGGGCCGATAGGGGAATTGGGCTCAGAGTCTGAGAAAGTTCTGGGGATTGCTTTTGGCAATGGCGCGCGGGGCGCGGGGAGGGGGGGCAAAGGGGGAGGGGGAGAGTTGTGTGGCACGAATGTGATTGCTTTTAGGAACGAATGGGGGGAGTGTGAGGGGAGTGTGCCAACTTGGTCCCCTTGAAAGGAACAATTAGAGAAAGCACCCACCGCCACCGCCACCAAGCTACTCTCTTTCCTGGGAAGAAAGGATGAAGGGAAAGCTGGGCTGGAGGTGACCCAGGCAGGAATTAGGGAAAGCTACTGAGATCCGGTAGGGGCGTGGACCGACAGAGTGAGCTTCTTGCAATTTAAGTGGGTTTTCGGAAAGGTTTTACAGGGTGTTGGGAGGGGGTGGACCGCTCCGGTAGCAAAGGCGTTTAGAGCAGCCTCGGCAGGGAGCTGTTTTCATCTTCAGGGTTTCCAAAATAGGAGGCCAGGGGAGGGGGCGGGGCGGGGCGAAGAGTGACCGTTCAGGTCGACTCCGAGCACTTAGAAGAAAGAAAGGAAAGTTCTGAGCCTCAGTGGAAGATGGCAAGCAGAATGGCAGGAGGAGGGGATGTGCGCGAAGGAGGGGTGGGGACATGACCGCTCCTGGGGCTTCACTGACCCCCTCTCCCTCTTTTCTCCCGCCCCTCTTCCCAGACTGCTGAACGAGAGCGAGAAGAGACCCTTCGTGGAGGAGGCGGAGCGGCTGCGCGTGCAGCACAAGAAAGACCACCCGGATTACAAGTACCAGCCACGGCGGAGGAAGTCCGTGAAGAACGGGCAGGCAGAAGCCGAAGAGGCCACGGAACAGACTCACATCTCTCCTAACGCCATCTTCAAGGCGCTGCAAGCTGACTCGCCTCACTCCTCCTCGGGGATGAGCGAGGTGCACTCCCCGGGAGAGCACTCCGGTGAGTAAAGTGCAAGTGATCTCCTAGGCCTGGCCACTCTGGGCCCCTCCGGGCACACCCTTAACACCCCCCCACCCTCCCCAGGATCTGGGTGGGGACTTTGAGCTCCCTGGGGTAGGGAAACACTGTTCCCTTCACCCCCTCCCTCGTTCGGGGCCCACCGAAATAGGCGGGCGTGCGACACACACACACACACACACACACACACGCCCCTCAACCCCTGAATCCTGAGCTGGATTCTTTATTGCAAGGTAACACGTATTAATGGCTTCACGAAACTGGCCCACTTTTCACTTTGCGCCTCACCCCCAAAACACACACTCTTCTACAGGTAGCAATTTAGCCTTCCGGACCCTTGGGACCTCAGACCTCTCCTCTGATAAAAGGAGCTTGCCTAGTGTGTACCTGCGGGTTAATCATTCCGCGACTTATCGTTAGTGCAGCCGGCATTCTGCGCGGGCCCGGGTCCTAATGACACCTTAGCAACCAGGGAGGTTCCCCAGGGGGGCTCCTAAGACCAGGGGCTTTGCACAGCCCTTGTTGATTTTTTACGGTTTGTCTTTCCCTTTTATTGCCTGCAGGGCAATCTCAGGGTCCACCGACCCCACCCACCACTCCAAAAACCGACGTGCAAGCTGGCAAAGTTGACCTGAAGCGAGAGGGGCGCCCTCTGGCAGAGGGGGGCAGACAGCCCCCCATCGACTTCCGCGACGTGGACATCGGTGAGCTGAGCAGCGACGTCATCTCCAACATCGAGACCTTTGACGTCAATGAGTTTGACCAATACTTGCCGCCCAACGGCCACCCAGGGGTGCCGGCCACCCACGGCCAGGTCACCTACACCGGCAGCTACGGCATAAGCAGCACCGCAGCGACCCCTGCGACCGCGGGCCACGTGTGGATGTCAAAGCAGCAGGCGCCGCCACCTCCCCCGCAGCAGCCCCCGCAGGCCCCGCAAGCCCCGCAGGCGCCTCCGCAGCAGCAAGCACCCCCGCAGCAGCAGCAGGCACCCCAGCAGCAGCAGGCACACACGCTCACCACCCTGAGCAGCGAGCCGGGCCAGTCCCAGAGAACACACATCAAGACGGAGCAGCTGAGCCCCAGCCACTACAGCGAGCAGCAGCAGCATTCCCCGCAGCAGATCGCCTACAGCCCCTTCAACCTTCCGCACTACAGCCCCTCCTACCCGCCCATCACGCGCTCGCAGTACGACTACACAGACCACCAGAACTCCGGCTCCTACTACAGCCACGCAGCGGGCCAGGGCTCGGGGCTCTACTCCACATTCACCTACATGAACCCGGCGCAGCGCCCCATGTACACTCCCATCGCTGACACCTCCGGAGTCCCGTCCATCCCGCAAACCCACAGCCCGCAGCATTGGGAACAACCGGTCTACACACAGCTCACCAGACCCTGAGGAGCCCTTGAAGAGGGATGGAGCTGGAGCTGATCATTAAAAAAAGAAAGAAAGAAAAAAAAAGAAAAGAAAAGAAATAGCCGAAGAAATCAAGAACCAATTGAAATTCCTTTGGACACTTTTTTTTTTTTTTTTTTTTTTTTTTTTTTTGTCGTTGTCCTTATTTCTTAAAGACATGTAAGCGAAGGTAACTAGTGCTGAGATTTCAGGCAAGAGACATTAAGACATTACTGAGCATATGCCAACCTATTGCAAATAGCCAGGCCACTCGTGGCCAGATGGACCCACCTGAATCATTGAGGAAGGACTTGGTTCCTTCAGAGTCAGCGTGGTGGACAATTGGAGAATCTCCCTGCCTGTTTGGACTCTGTAATTATTTTTTAGCCGTAATTAAAGAAAACAAAAGTCCTCTGTGAGGAATATTCTCTATTTTAAATACTTTTAGTATGTACTGTGTATGATTCATTACCATTTTGAGGGGATTTATACATATTTTAGATAAAAAAATTAAATGCTCTTATTTTTCCAACAGCTTAACTACTCGTAGTTCAACAGTGTCCCCTAGCCTTCCTTGCAACCAGAATATTTGTGTACAGATTTGCTTTCTCTAAACAAACAGAAAACAAAACAAACAAAAAAACAGAAAAAAAGAAAAAGAAAAAAGTGTGTTGTTATTGTAACATAAAAAAAATACGCAGAATTTTGTTACATCATCATTGGGGGGGGTGAACTTTGCTTAAGTCTCCAGGCTCTCGGACTTCAGGAGCAGCTGCCTTAAGAAAGGAAGGAAGGAAGGAAGGAAGGAAGGAAGGAAGGAAGGAAGGAAGGAAGAAAAGAAAGAAAGGAAAAGCCTTATTTTGCAATAAGGGGAATAAACAGTATAGAGAACATTGGTGAGCTTTATCATATATATTTTTTTAAACAAGAAGAAAAACACCTTTGAGCCTTAAAACCCCCGCTGCTGGGAAAATACAAATGCTGTTCCTAGAAAATTCACTGTGCCTTTGCTTGCTGGCTGCAGCCTCAGAAGGAAAGCCAACAGCGGAGCAAAGGAGACCAAATTTTCTTGGGGAAGATTTTTCAAGCAGCCCTTAAGTGCCCAAGCACATTGCCCCCTGGGTGCCTGCCTGGGCCCCATGTGCACAGCAGATGCTGGAGTGTGCCTGCTCAGACTGTCACCTGTGCTTCCCTGACACCAGCGTTTAACCTTCAAGACATTCCACGTGCTAAAATTATTTATTTTGTAAGGAGGAGTTTTCATTTTTTAAGAAAAAAAAAAATCTCCTTCCTTTTTTTTTTTTTTTTTTTTTTTTTTTTTAATTTACTGTCTTTAAGGTAGATTGTTGGCGCCTTCCTCAAAGGGTATGGTCATCTGTTAAATTATGTTCTTAACTATAACCATTTTTTTAATTTATCTTTAATCTTTTTTATTATTAAAAAAAACAAGCCTTTTCGAATTCTTCATTCTAGATTTGTATAAATGCTTTTTGTCTGTCTTGTGGTTTTTTTTTTTTTTTCTCCTTTGTTGTTTTTATTGTTGATAACAAACTGGAAACCTGTTTCTCTCTGTCTTGTACAAATGATAGGTTACAAATGCAGTATGTACATCAGTGGGTCATTTGCAGAGCTTTCTGCCACAGGCCTTTGGGCTGCCTGAACTGCATGTGGAAGAGTTCCCGTGTGACATGGAACAACGCAAGCCCCTGCAAGCGTGTGTCATGGGTAGCCCCCTGCCTACTCTCCTGCAGAAAGACGTCGGACAGACCTTAATTCTTACTGCTGTGGCTGGAGAGTACGAGGATTGCTTTTTTTAAACAACAGCAGACTTTTTTTTATTTAAAAGAAAAAGATATATTAACAGTTTTAGAAGTCAGTAGAATAAAACCTTAAAGCATTCTTATAATATGGCATCTTTCGATTTCTGTATAAAAACAGACCTTTTAAAAAGTATTTCTGTAACTTAAGAACCCTGACATTTAAGTCGTATTTTTTCTGTAGGTAAGGTTTGGTTTGTGTTTGTGTTTTGTTTGTTCCCCCTCCAAACTTTTTGTTCTCTGTGGAACTCACCTTTCTTTCCTTCCTTTCTTTTTTGTATATTATTGTTTACAATAAATATACATTGCATTAAAGTGAAAACAGCCCTGTGGATTTATTTACCACGTTCTCCTGTCAAAAGTGTGACTTAAAGAACCCAGGGTACAAAGAGATTGCAAAAGGGTGATCTTCCGGATGGTTTCGATTTGATGGCTTCCCTTGCCAATTTTAAACTGGCCAGTGAAAGACAGTCCCCATGCCCCTAAACCTGAGCACAAAGCCTCTTGGAAAGGGTCACCCAGCAAGCCACACAGAGGATGTCATGTCAGGGATGTCATGTCAGTGTTGCCCACTCTGGCAAAATGTGTGTTGTGGTTTTAAAAAAAAAAAAAAAACCTCTGCTTCGGGGCAGACACTGTTCCCCTATGGAGGTCAGAGGGGAGGGGGGACATTAAGCTGGACATCAGCAGCCTGTCAGACCAAATGCCAGAGGGGTGGCTCTTTTATCTGAATGCCATATGGCAAACTCTGTGTCATTATGGACACATACCAAAGAAATGGGTTGGCGCACTTGCCAGGCCACGGAGCCAGAGGGAAAGAAGGTCTACCTCCCTATAGGAGACATGGGGGAAACAGGGGAAAGCTTGTCCAATTAACCCCTGAAACAAGTTCCTTCTCTTCTGATTTCTCTGCAGAGACAATGAAGAGAGATCCCCTTCACCCCCCCCCTCCACTGCATGCCCTGTGGTGTTCCTACAGTTTAACTCATCATAGAGAGAGATGCAGAAGGAACCATCCTAGAAGAAATATGGCCTAATCCTGTTTTCTTTGGCCCCAATTCGATGGGGAGTTTCCAGGTTGAGAGACGTTCAGGTCATTTTTCATTAAACAGATGAAGTCACTCCCTCCCTCCCTCCCACTCCTTCAGTCACCTCCCCCACAGCTGATGGGGCCCCAGTGTCTAAGAAGGTAATATCACCTCCACTACTCCAGGCAGAGTGCAGGGCCTAGGCCCTGTTGCATTCCTGGCTAGCCTCCCACACCAGGATCAGGGCAACCAGGAAAACGATAGTTATCAAATGGAGGCAGCAATAGTTTGAGGCCTCCATTGTGAATTCCTCCCACAAACACTGACTGATGGCCTGGGATCTGTGGGGGCACTCTGAGGATCTCTCTCTGTTGCCTCCAGACATCAGATTCTCAGCATCCTTATTAATGCAACAGTCCAGACTTTGTCCACCACGCTGACAAAACCTCTTCCTTCCCCCACCCTTGCCAACACTCACAAAGTCCTGTCTGGAAAAGTCCATGGTGGGCACTAAGTCTTGTCCACCTTACTCATCCTAATCTTCACACACTGGGTCTCCTATGGGCCAAATCCATACCATTTTCTAACTTCTCCTGCCTTTTTTCTTATCCGTGGTACCCTAGTTGGGCCTTCTTAAGAGTCAGGATGCTCTGTTGTGACATAAATTTATTAGAGTGACCCAGGGCAATGTTACCACCTGATGCCTCAGTTTCCCCTTTTCCTGAGAATGTTTACAACTGCCCCTTACAGTCAACTGGGTTGTTTGGGAGAGATTTTCCAGCCAGCACTACTCTAGATATAAACCATGGCTGACCGTTAGTCTGAAAAGCAGTCACTCTGTATTAGAATTTTGTAAAGCAAGACTCATAAGGAGTTCCTTAGGAGGTCTCCAAGTTGCTTCACTGTATACCAAATACCCAGGACACAGTAGAGGGTCCCAAGAGCATTCTTCAGAGTCCCTCTCACTGCCACCCACCCACACGCTCGATAGCCAAAGCCCAATATCACCACAGTATGAAATATTTTAGAGAGAGTTTTATGGTAAATCCAAAACCACGGGGCTTATCTCCCTGGCAACATTAACACGGGCTGGAAACCTGGAGAGCCTTCCACAACAACCATAACAAAAACAAAACAAAACACAAAAGCTTGCATTTAGACCCAATGGGAATGTGTTTATTTGTGTTCATCTTCAGCCTTTCTAACTATCTTAACAAGCAAACAAAAAGAGGATTTTTTCCCTTTCAACAAAAAAGGAATAAAAAACAAACAATTTAGAACCAGTGTGTTTGTCCTTTGTTAAGCTTGAACCACATGGAGGGGAGTGAACTGTGTTTTGACTTTCTTATTCCCAGTCCTCTCATCCTTTCCCATGGCCTTATCTTTATGGGGCATCGTTTTATACTGACTTGATAGATGAACTATCACTATAGCCAGAGACAGATTGACTATGGAGAAGATGAAGCCTGAGTTTACAAGCCTGGTACTCTACCAATAGGTTAATTTAGCCCCCAGGTAAGCTACAGGGATCCTCCTGCCTCTGCCTCCCCAACACTGAGACTGAAGCATGAGCTACCATGTCAGACATTTTACCTATGTGTTAAGGATTCAAACTCAGGACTTCATGCCTGTGCAGCAAGCACTTTACCAACTGAGCCATCTCCATAGCCTTCTACATCATTTGATTTCAAGAGCACTTCTCTAAAGGGTGAAGCTGGGCCTGCCTGCCACCATGGCCATGGCTGTTGACCAGTAAACCCTGCCATCAGATACTGTAAACCTGATGCTGGCATTCAGCATGTCTTTAACTAATGCCAACCTCTCTCTCTCTCTCTCTCTCTCTCTCTCTCTCTCTCTCTCTCACTCTCTCTCTCCTTCCTCCCTTCATCCCTCCCTCTCTCTCCTCCCTCCATCTCTCCCTCCATCTCTCCTTCTCTCTCTCCATCCCTCCCACCCTCCCCCCTTCCCTCCCTCCCTCTCTCTGCATTGAAGAGAACCCTACACAACTCCAATAGCTCATCTTGGTTGTCAACTTTGACACATGTGGGAAGAGGGAATTTTAGCTGAAGAACTTCCTCCATCAGACTGGGATATAGCATGTCTGTGGGGAATTTTCTTGACTGCTGATTGATGCAAAGGAGGCCAGCCCACTATGGGTGGTACCATTCCTAGGCAGGAAGGGAGGACTGTATTAGACAGTTGGGC